TTGTGCTCTTTGCATGGATCCGGAGGAACACTCTTCGTTGGATTTTCTTTATAAATTATGGTATTGAACCTACTTTACCAAGTCTAATTTTTTTGTATCAAGTTTAAGCAACCTTTTAAGTATTTCTTTCGTTTATGAATACTAATTTATAAAATCAAGCATAAATCTTGTAACTTAAATATTTATATCAATAGCAGGAATAAATAGACTCTAATATGAAATATTTATTGAAATAAATAGACTAAAATATGAAATTGGAGAGTGAATTTATTTTTATGTTTTAAGGTCTTTGGAGCAAATCTCTGTATGATTATTAAAATTGTTAAAACCGAAATAAAAAGCATTCAACAGACTCAAAACTGGTGTCAAGACATTAGAATAAAATTTATTTAGTAAGTCGTTTTAAGTTTTAGTGATTTGTGATATTAATAAAAATGAACGGGATCTTTTATACTTCCTAGTTTTAGCTTTTTGTATTTTTTGAAGTATATCTGATGCAATACACTAATTTTATAATATAAAGCAATAAGATATTTATTCTTTTTAATAAACTTTCCTTTCATAGGTTATAAGTTAAGATAGTTTTATACTTATTAGTTTTGTCTTTTAGATTTTTTTGAACTATATCTGATGTAATACAATAATTTTGTAATGTAAAGCGGACATACATTTATTCTTTTTAACCTTTTTTTAAATAGTAATACTCCTTTCTCATCATTTTCATAAGTAATTTCAAAAACAATTTTAATATAGTTGATAAAAAAATAAATAGTTTTTCATGAGAACGATAAATGTCCCTTTCATATATCGCTTAATATTGTGATCATAGTATTATAATCTCATTAAAATCTTAATAAATATTCGAATTGCAGATTTTTCATCACCGCCCTCGTTCATGCGTTTATGCGTGAACTTTGTATTGTAAATTCTTTACTTGTTGGTACTTGAACAGTTCGTAAGTTCATATTTGCAACATGTCAGTTAAAAATACAACAAAGGAAAAAAACCAAAACCAAAGATAAAACATAAAATATACGCCAACACATATCTTCAGCATATTTGTATGTTCTTATTATATATAACAAGCATCCTTTAGCGTTTTCTTACAACCATTCGCCCTTTTTTATGGAGACACTAAATTATTCAGAAAATGTAAATCTGTGATTTTAATGTGTTTCCCAACTGTAAACATAAACCTAAATATTACAAAACTTATGCAAACAACACGACCATAAAAACGGCGTAATGTATTAAAAAAAAGTGGAAATAATAATGTAAGGAAAACAAAATAACTGAAACGGATGTAAAACCCTTATGTCATTTTAATGGGCGGAAACTGTAGCAGCTAAATAAAGTAAGAAAAAAAAAACAAAAAAAAAATTCCAAAATAAATAAATAAAAAAGCAACACTGATATCGTACTGAAATTGCTGAAATATAATAAAAAGAAAGTAGTAAACTATATATTTGATTTAATTTAATAACCTTATCTCTGCCAATACAAAAACAAAAAAAAACAACAACCTAAAGATACATGAAACTGTATACTCATATAAGGGCTAAATTTACACAAATTATCCAAACAATGACTTACCCTGTTGGACACAGAGAATAAAAGAATTGAAATATTTTATTTAAGATAGCAAAAAACCTAATTGCGTTAATTTAGCCATAATAGCATAGGAGGTACCAGCACACATAACGTCATAATAATCCTAGCATAGACGCAATCATACACACACACACACACACACGCATATCACACAATGGTGCCCAGACATGCAATAAAATAGTGTGAAAAGTAACGGTGGCAGCACCCTTGCTGTGAGTTGCGATATCATAACAATGTTCAAAAAAAAAAAATAAAAAAATTTCTAAAGTATAAATAGATTAAAGACCCTCAAACTCACACAGTCGAAAACAATTATTAAAATAATTTAAATGTTTGGGTTTACGTTTTAGGCTAAGGCCAAGAATCCAATAATTCAATGTGCACACGTACACTGCTCAATCGTAGTTTAATACTCAGGCATCAGGCACCCCTAAAGTGCCTGATGTCATAATTTCACTTACGTATATAACCATTCATACTAGTCACACATCTAACCCATAAATCCTGCATTCATACGCAGGGTGTGTGCCTTTTTGTTCTAGACGACCCATGGACGAAGAGAATTCTATGTATGCAAAGCAAATTTAAATAATTGCATTTACTTATGCGCCAGTTTAGTGGGCGTTGGTAATTTGGCGCCTATTATGAAAGCAATTTTTTCAATATATGAACAAACATGCAAAGGCATATATATGATTTTGTCGATTGTTTGGTCCCAGTATGTTAGTTTATAGAGAAAAAACCACATTCATATAGTATGCATAATAATTTTTGCTTATAGCTCGTTTGCTCTACAATTACATTTCTTTGCTTTTCATTTTATTACAATTATCATAAACATTTTTCCTTTCTTCTACTGCCAGATAATAATATAGCAGTATGTTAGACCGTGTGGACTTTTATTTACATACATTCATTTTTTGTTAATATTGTATTATTTCTTTTTTAAATTGCAACTGATTACGTACGGTTAGGTTGTAAGTACAATATTATGGGTACATATAAAACACCTTCATTGGGTAATTAATTTGTAATTTTATGGAAATTAAATATAAATTATTTCCATTAAGTGAATTGAACATAACTTAATATTTTCTTCCACATACAAAATAAATATGTATATGAAAAGTTATTAAGTAAAAAAAATTAAGTATATTCTAAGCCAAGTAAAAAACATTACAACATCAAGCGCACCTACCATAATGTTAAATACATCTTAATGCAGTTATACTTCCAATTCCGAAAAAAGACGAACTAGCGCGTATCAGTCTAAAATAATGGACTAAGAATAGTAATACAATCAAAATTTCTGATATAAGTGATTCCCGACAGAGCATCGTTATATTGATCTTTACAAACCAACTGCAGCATTAGACAAGAAGACAAGTAAATGAATATTTTCTTTCGCTAAATTTCACACTGTTAAGTATTGAAAAGATCAACAAAATAAGAACAGATTTGAATAGATCTATAAATCAGTGTTGAATAGATCTGTATAACAAAATTGAATGTACTAATAACAAGGAATGCTAAAAGTGGTTGTTGAACTAGATGGAAAAGATTTGTATAATTAACCAGGAATGCTGAGAACTTTGTTAGACTAACGTCTATTAAAAACTTATGGTGCAAAATATTCTACAAAATTGTTGTTGTATATTTTTAGCTGACCATACAGCTGTTTCGAGAACTTCCAAGTAATGGTCATCAGCAAGCAATCTTTTGGAAATATTTCTTGAATTTAATTATTAAAATAATTTGTTGAGATTGCAAATACCAAGGGTTGACCTCGCAACAATTACAAATAACGATAATTACTAAAATTAGACGATAGCTGGTTAATGATTTCGTTTTAATATAACACAACAAGTAAACTTGTTAATAAAACTTTCACAGTAAATTAACCAATTTACAAGTTAGAACATACAAATCAAGTACAGCTTTGGATCAGTTAGAGTATTAACGCTGACTCTAAGCTTCAAATTTGGCACAGCACGACTTAAACTGTTATTAGTTCCAGTTTAAAAAAAATTTCTTAAGAATAATACAAGAAATATTTTCAAAACACCACTTCTAATCGATATTTGGCTATAGTCAAAACAGCTATATGGCCAACCAAAAATTCAATTAATTAATAATTGTTGTAATTCACTACTGTTCAAAATGCCTCTCTATTAAAACAAGAGTTTAAATTAAAAAAATTGTTTCTTAATCATTTTTTCTGCCATCATAATTGACTTTATAAATAATTAAAATATATCTTATATTAGCGCAACAGACCTAATATGAAGCGAAAATAAATATTGAAGCTAAATATTTCAGTTTTCGAAAAACTATTCTGTCAAAATCCTCTCTTGTCAAATTTTTTTTTTTCCAAAAATCCAATAATTAATGTTGTAGTACATGGGCGTAAAATGTACAGATTGACAACAGCAGAACCTCATAGACAAACGATTTTTCGCAGGAATATTTTATAGAAGACAATATGATAATGTGAACTGAAATATCATGAGCAATATATGAAAAAGCAAAGATTAATGTATACTGGTAATATTATAAGAAAGTTGTAAAACAGAGAATAGAGTAATATTTTTAATAGCGGTGTAACATATAGACTGTGAAGAAAACAACACGTAGGAGAAGAATAGATAGACTAATAATAACTTATGGAGTATAAGGATCAACAAGTGGGAAAAAGGGTAATGGAAGGTTTACATGCGATATGCTTATGATTCAGATTGGATTTCAGATTAATAATCTTATTTTCGCGATTGCGATACAAGAAGAAATTTTATATGTTATACACATTTTTTGGCCAAAAGAGGCAGTAATGCCTGCACTAAAACTGTCAATACACAAGTGATAAGCGAGAAAATTTTTTCAGCAAAAAAAATTTTTAATATTTTACTTAATTAATTCTAAGTGATGCTATTTAGAATTCAGCATCACTTGCCTCTGGAAACAGAAATTAGTTTCGTTGTCCGTATATAACTTATAGACTACAAATGGAACTCTTTCAAATTTCAATCAACGTACATCTAATTGCATTGGCCTTGCGCTTACTGTGTTGTAATTAGTACTAACACATAAACCACAGCTATATAAATTAACTTAATCATTTGTAAATTATTTTAACTCTATTGTTTCTGAAATTTTTATCAATATACGTTCAGTATACTTAACTTAGTTCTATATAATTGTCAATTGCATAGCAGTATTTGAAAGTTACTACTTTTAATTTACTTTGCATATGGATTTCAGTGTAATAATTAAAGTAACCTTTGTAAAATAGTTATCGCACAAAATTTTTTGTTTCGTATTTAATTATAACTTAAAATTCTTTATATTGCATTTAATTATTTTCATTATAGAACGTTTTTTATAAAATCAGAACGTTCTAGTGTACAAATGCATTTTGAAGTTAGTACTGAAAAAACCTTATTATCTTGCATTTTGTAAAATTATTCACAACACAACTTACCGATAAAAATCCAAAATAAATATAAATATAGCTGAACCGCCCACTCTAAACGTTAGTTTATGTATTAAAATGAATTTAAGACAGTTTGTAAAGTTACAATTACTTTTAATATTTCTTAATTTGACTTCAATAGTACGGCAAGTGAGTTCAAAGGCCGACAATAATATTGAAGACTTTGAAAATTTTGATAATGAAATTGATGTGAACGATCAAAGTGCTGAAGCAAAAACACGCAATGCGATGTCATCGCCATTCACACGTTGGCCAAATCGTACAATTGTCTACAAAATATCTCAAAACTACACAAATGAAGAAAGGCAGACTGTGCGGAAAGCACTCGATTTCTTTAATAAAAATACGTGTCTAAATTTACGTGAATATAGTCCGTCAAGGGATGGAAGTCGACGTTATTTACACTTTACACGCTCTGATCAATATTGTGGCACACGTGTGGGATACAATCCGTTAACGCCTTTCGGACCGCACGATTTGACTTTAACACCAAAATGCCTACAGATGTCTGGAATTATACAACATGAAACTATGCATGCAATAGGTTTGTTTCACGAGCAGAGTCGAACTGATAGAGATGAGTATGTGGAAATCAATTACGACAACATACCCAGAAAATTTTGGCCTCAATTTATGAAATCGTCCAATGCTATTACAAGCACTTATAATATATCTTATGACTATAATAGTATGATGCATTATTCTCAGTTTGCTTTTGCTATAGATCCAAATGTGCCTACAATTCTAGCAAGAGATGGTGAAAAATTAATTAATCGGACAATGGGACAAATTATTGAACCTTCTGTTGCGGATTTAACAAAAATACGCATTATGTACAACTGCCCAAAGGACTAAAAACAGAAATTTATTGCATAATAGTAGAATAAACTTCATAAAAACTTTCACATATAAATTTTTTTTACCTGTACTACATTCCATCATTGAAATCTTGAATAAAAAAATCGTTGGGTATATAAAATACAGTTCTTTCCAATAAAAAATAATACATAATACAAAAAAAAACTTGAAATTGATTAGAATAGAAATGAAAATTGGCTTATATATAATATATACCAACACAAATTCTTTCTGCATTTTGAGGATGCACAATAAGCCCTTTTAAATCGAACTTTTTTATTTTAATTGCTAACAAGATAAGTGTATATACATTTTTTTGAGTATAGTATTGTGTATTATGTTGCAATATTTGCAATTTTTGCAATACCAGTAAATTCCTATTGTAACCTAAAAATATTAAGCTGATTGACACCTTTTTCACCGATTTCTCTATACAAACTGGTTTCGGAGCCACAGAGCCGGCTTAATACTATTCCTTCAACGGTTGTTTTGATTCAGGATAATAATAGTTGACGCAGTTTTCTTACATTGGAACAAAACAAAACAATTGACGAATAGATGACGCTTCACAAATTTAATGAACAACCTACTTATATTTGGTAAAATAGACGGCAGTTAAAATTCCAGCTAACAGCACCGAAAATGCGAAGAATATAGTGTAGAAGCAAGTAAAAATCAAGAGAATACCTAAAAAATCAAAAAAGAAAATAATTTAAAAAAAATATTCAAATATCTGTCTAAATATTTACAATGTTAAAAAGTGCCAATTAACTGCACTAAAAATACAGAATAAAAATTTGGAAATAATTTTTGTATGAGAAGTCTTTCTGTTAACAATTTCAATTTTGTATTATATTGTCGGTGGAAGGTATAATAAATAAAGGAGTACAATGAAGAATTCCATTGTTTTCCACACGAGCAGACTTATCTTGTATAATTTTATCTAGTCTCGTTGTCTTTAAAAAATTTAGATTTAGCATTACTCATAATTTTCTTGATATTCAGTATATATCCAGGTATTGTTCTCTATTATGTACAAGTGCATAAATATTCTCCCATTAAAATCTCTGTGACTTATTTTCGTCGCAGAGTTCATGCATGAGTTTCGATGCATAGCCTGCGCTTATCAGCTGTCCTCCAAGTTGCAGTGGTTTGTCAATAGCACGGTTAACGTTCTTAATCTGTTTAGCTTTTATACATATTTAATAGTATTTTAAATTGTCTCAAACCTGTGAAGTTTGCAAATATTCTTTTGTCCAACTTGATCCATTAGCATTTACCACCTTTAAAAGAAAAATAATATTAATTATCAAGTTATATATTTCTATTTGAGCCACTGCTCTTGAGCGCATTTATTCTTTCTCAACTCGAGGTATTTTTAACACACCTCTTTACGCCTTGACTGGATTATTGTTTATCACTTCATCAGACTAAGCAATAATAGACCTCAGATCTGCACACCTCCCCGAGGAACCTGTAACCATTCTGAGATTTGATAATTATCATAAGTTATAAGTTATTTATAAGTAGCTGCAATATACTATTTACTATACTTATGTTTATATTTCAGACATATTTATGTAAAATTAAACTTGATTAAAAATTCCAAATCACTTAATTTGTCAATTTAATTGAATGACTTTCAAACTTTTGAGATACTCGTATAAGGAATGACATAATTAATGTGTTAACACATTAAAAGGTTACTGAAAAATACGTTATAATTATATATTTAAATTCACTAAAACCCTTTTGAAAAGATTCACTCATAAACTTAACAAGCATATAATTACACTCGTATCGCTTTGCATTTCTAAAATTGATATGCAGAGAAGAAATAGAGAAGCTGAACTAGAACCCTTCTGAAAAACATATTATTGATGTGGTACACTCGATGCTTTTAACATATGATGAAGGTACGTACATACTATCAACAAAAGGGATGATGTTTATCTCAATTTGTTGTGCGTGTTACGTATTCAAAAGGGGAAAAAATAATAACTCAAAGATACTTGAAGCTATTATGAAAACTGAAATGTTGAAATGTTAGTTTTTAGAATATTATAAAAATCTGTTTCTTAATATATGCATAAATGTATGCATATGTTTTACTTGTCTATGCTAATATTAAAAATTTTTTTAAATATATAGTATACGCACTATTATTGTAAACTGTTTTTATATATATTATTTTGAAGTTTTATTTGAAATTTTTTATTAGTTTTCATGTATTTCAAAGTACAAACGTTAATATTTTTATTAAGTCATTGCACCCCTTTCTTTGACGTTTGGAGTATTAACTTTAAAGGGTATTTATATATGCACGCAGCGGGTATTTTATGTAAATTTTATGTAATCACATTAGTTATATTGCACAGTGAAATGTTATTACATAAATTATTACCCGTATTCGAAAATTATATACGCCATTTAAGCACAAAATCGTATTAGCATATTTAATGCCCAATAATTTTAATGGCACATAACTAGCATTTAATTTGGTTTTTTTTTTTATGTTGACAATAGAAATAATAAAACTAGAAAATTTCTTGTTCTTTACTTTCTGATATTATCACACAGTAGAGTTATTATTATAATTACAAAAATTGGTTTAAGAATTTATGTAACGCTTAAAAAATATTTTTGAGATATTTTTCTCTCTGGATTTACTGCATTATAGTATAAAATAAAAGTATATTGCGCTACATGAGAAGTACTCAACATAAAATAATTTCACTTGGATTCGGTGGTTTTATTCATTATAAAGAACAAGTATGCTTATTACAATATTCAACAATCTCAATGCTTAAATATGATGTATTCGCATACTTAACATTATATACAATTAAGTAAGAACATTGCTATCTCCTGCATGTATAGGTAAAGTATTATCGTACTTCCATAGAGTACTGTTTTACGCTCAACTAGTGGAAAATTTGTTTGAAATGCATCAATATGCAAAATTAAAGCTTCTCGAATTTTTATATACTCTTGTTATGTACTATAACGTTATAGTATGCATTGTTTTACAGTAATTAACGCATCACTACGTGCAATTGGGTGCATCTATCTTAGTTAAAATACGTTACGCACGCATTTGCATATCTGCAAATTACACATATTCAAAATTGAAATGCGTTCCCAACAAAACTTCATGCTGCTAGCATACACTTTTTTTCTTTTTCTATTGAACTGCTATAGCCAACATGACTGATAATATCAGATTAAGAGAGCTTTATAATGACGCTATAACAAACCGCCATAGCTGCTGCTTCAATGCCTTGCTGCTTCACAAATTTTTATACTCCGCCAAATGTATTTCACTTATTCATTCGTAGATAGATGCTGCTGACTTTTGCACTGTTTTCATTGGTATTAACTCAGTCATTGCAGTCGCTGAAGCCATTAAATCCATTGAAGCCATCAATAAAACAGAATTTCTGGTTGCCTTAAACATTCATTCACCACGCAAAAATATTTATAATTATCATTAAAACGCTCATTAACAGTTTTTACTTAACAGAAATATTTGAGTCGAACTTTATTTCGAGCATTAATATTAATAAAAAATATATGAAAAAAAAATTGTTTAATATAAAATAGTGTTGAATTTTGATTAAAATTAATTTATTTTTATATAATTATTTTCGGTAAATTTCATAATAAATTTCGCAACAAAAAATGACTTTCGATTTTATAAAAAGAAGTAAAAAGTTTATTACTTAAATATTGGATGAATAACTTTAGCCTTAAGTAAATATTCACATTAAGGTTAATTATATTGTAACTTTGGGCGTTTAAAAGGTCAACATTTTTTCCAAGGCTATTTCCCGGAGGGATACTATAGAACGCCCATCTATATAACATTTTATAAAAATTAATTTTTGTAAATATATTCGTCAGTATATAAATTCAAAGCGAAGAAGCACCATGATTTTCCGCCATCGAATCAAAATAAAAAATATGTAAATAAGTAATTTCATATATATACATATATAAATATATAAAAATATATACTTATGTATTTAAATGAACCATATTGCAAATAAAGAAAAAGTTCCGTCATGTTCTTGGCATCAATAAAATGCGCTTGAACAACACAAATTGTGGCCACAGTTCATAAAATTATTTATTAAATAATAATTATAAAAAATGAATATAATAAATTTATCCCAAATACACTGCTTATATAAAAGTAAGTCTAGAATATTAACGTGTTCCCACTATGGCAAAATCAATTTATGTTAATCAAATTAAGATTTATCTGTTTCCATTGGCATAAGTTAATTTATCCATGCGAAAGAACTTTTATGTGACAGTAAGTTCTGTTCTCTTTTATCACGACAAAAAGGAAGAAAAGGAGAAAAAGAAGAGGGGAACACATTCTACGTCACTGTGATGGTCTCGCTAGACTCAGACTTCAGTACTTATCAACTGTCCATCCATTTATAACGGAAATAGGCAATATCTCTCCAAAGAACATAATGGTATTTTTAACTACTGCGTGCCTAAGAAACTATAGTGGATTTGTCTTAATAATCCTCAAAGGATGCAATGACGTGGTGACATAGTTTTTAACTTTTTCTAAATCTAAAATAATTTAACTCAACAACCAATGTCTTCACACAAAGTATTCCTTTTAGATTTCGTAATTTACTAGATGTTGTCAGTAAACAAATAATTGATTATTCTACAATAAAAATGGTTGTCAAACAAACCACATTATATAGATTTTTTTAATTGTAATCTGTTTTTTTTTTTTTTTTATTTTTAGCTTTTTTACTGATCACATTCTTTTAAGATCGTATATTAAATTTTATAATACTAACATTCTATTCGCCTTGCATATATTTTGTTAATGCTATTGAGCTTAGACGAAAAATACAAATAATACGAGTAAAAGTCCCAATCTTGTATTAACCTCTGAATACATAGTGAATACTCTTTACGTTTTGCCGCTTTTTTTGTAAATATATAGTGCACCCACCTTTGCATTAACTCATTAAAGTACTCAGTATTTACGTACAAATGCATGAAAACGCATATGGATCTGGCTAGACCCATAAGTACCGTACGTGACTATCAAAACATGTG